CCTCTCCTCTCCTCTCCTCTCCCTCTCTTCCTCCTCCTCTTCTCTCTCATAGTCTTAGCAGGCTTTCAATGTTGTTTGTCTTTGGCTTTTCCTCCACCTCTTTGCGGGCAAGTCAGCTGGGATCATTGGGGTGAGGAGCTGAGAGCGAAGGAGGAGGAGGAGGAGGAGGAGGAGGAGGGGGTGGGGGTGGGGATGACCGTCAAGCTGCTGCAGGTGTGGTATGGTGTTGTCTTGTTCTTCGGCCTCCGTACCGCCCAAAATATGTGAGGGAGGAGGAGGAGGAGGAGGAGGAGGTGGTGGTGGTGGTGGTGGTGGTGGAAGCAGGACGAGGACGAGGACGAGGACGAGGAGGGAGGGGAGGGCACGAGCATTAATGTTTGTGTGCAGATGGCGAACGTTGAGGGCGGAAGGAATTCTTGGAGCGAAAAAAACGAGTTTGAAGAGTGTGAAATTTTAGAAAACAAACTGGAAGAAACAGTTCCTCCTGCTCTTTCTGCCTCGTCCTCCTCCTCCTTGCTCTCAGAAGGGCTTGAACTGCCTCCTCGTCTTCCTGCTCAAGGCGTCAGCGTCGCTCGCGTCAGCGTCTCCTCACATGGCCTCTACGCGCTTCTTGTCGGCCTCGAACTTGTTCCTCAGAGCTGTAGGACGTCAGAGAGGAAGAGAGCCAAGGGAGCAAGAGGGGGGAGGGGGGACGAGGAGAGGGAGAAGGAGGGGGGGGGGGGGGTCAAGCGTGGGCGACTTACCCACTAGCTGCTCGCGTCTTTTTCTCGCGGATCTGAAACCTGACAGGAAAGGGGAGACGAAGAAAAGGAGGAAAAACTTAAGGGCTACCTGTACAAATCTTGAAGCTCTTTTGCCTTTTTGGGAAGAGGGGCTGAAAGTTTTTCTTACAGTGGAAAGTGAAAAAAACAGGGGGAGAACCCAGGACGAAAGGATAAGACACTGGTAGGACAAGAAACGAAGGGCGGGGGGGGGGGGTGGTCTCTGGTGGGAGGGTGAGAAAGTGATTAAGGGACCAATATTGGACTGCAATGACCTCGCTGGGTAGCACCCTGTCTACACTTGATATGCGTCGACTTCGACGCAGCGTCACCGTTTGTCCGAGAGGTGATTCTTAGTGTGTCTCGGATCAGTTGCC